TGAAAGTCGTGAGCAAGCAAAATAGCCTCTTAACTGCCAAGAGGGAAGGATGAAGGGTGTGGGTTCAATGGTGTTGTGGCTAGTTGCTTAGGTTAGGGAAGAAGGGAGAGGAGGCATTGATGGAACTCAAAAGAGGGCAGGAGGCTGGGTGATGAATGAGGTTTGGTTGATTTTGAGAGAAAAAGACAGAGGTATAGTAAAAAGGGGAGTTTAGCATTTTTGGGAGAAAACTGAGAAGTGGCAATTTTGAGACAAGTTTGTTGATGTGGGGATGGTTTGGTGGGTTTGGGTTCAGCTGGCCCAATTAAAGATTTTTTTTTTTTCATTTTTAGCTTAAAATTTTTGTGGGAATTTTAGAGGGAAAATTATTAGCTAAAATTTAAAAGATTTTAGAATTTCTTTTATGATTTAGATAGAAATTTGTGAGGAATGGGTTTGATGGAAATTTGAGAGGGGAATATTTGATAATTTAGATGCAAAATAATTAATGTTAAATGATTAATATATTGATTTAATTATTTATTATTTGATGATTTTGTATTTGGATTTTGTTAATTGTTTTTTTCCTTGTGGTGTTTCTATTGTAGTACTTTGTTCGTTATTTTTATTTAATTGATTTAAATCTTAAATTCATGTGTTTTGTCAATTTTATGTATTTATTGAATTTATAGTTATAGAATTTCATGGATATAATAATGGGAAATTTTTTAAACATGAATTTTTTTGAGGTTTTTTGGTATAATGCTTGCTAGATGAACTATCTATCAATTTTTTTGAGCTTTTTTTATTTTCTTAGAAACTTGAAGATTCTTTCTGATGCTTGGTTTTGTGTAGGAAGACTTTGAGAACTACTGGACAGCATGCCCCTGGGAAGAAGATTTGAAGTATGCAAGGTCTGTTTGTGATCAGGTAATTTCTTTTATGAATAGTGTTTTTTAATTTATAAAATCTATCTCATTCTAAGGTGGAATGTTTGAGTTGATTTGAATATGTATATTCAAAAGTCTTTGGATAGTTAGTTTCTTATCATTTACATTTCTTTGCATGCATGAATGGTGCCTATGTGCATAATTTTCATGAAGGGCTTTTTTGCTTAAAAATGATTGGCAAAATTTCATGGTTTTTGTAATGCAGGAGATTACTAGAACTGAATGCACTATCTTGTTTTTCAGGTTTATGTGCCATTAGAAGTTGTGCATTTGACAGATGAATATTGGAAAAATGTGGTATGTATTTACCATTTGAGTGGGATTTTTTAACTTGTCTATACGATCTTGCTTCTCTCTAGTAGGCTGATGCAAAATGAATTGCAATATTTGGACTTTGGACTGCTTTACAAAAGACTGAATTTAGTAATTATTGCTTTCTTGTTCGCCTCCATTTATCATAAAAGTTAGCTGTTTTTCAGGTTTCCTACATTATTGAGGAGTACAAATGTGGACGCACTCCAAATCCGGATGTTCTATGCAATACACGAATAAAATTTGGTATGGACCTTAGCTGAATTTCACCCATATATCTATGTTGGAGGTTTTTAGCTCTTTTTTTTTTTTTTCTCTTTTTTAGGTTGCAAAATGGGTGTATTGACAGTTAATCCCATACTATTTTCATTTGGCATTTATGCTAGTAGTGACTTTCAGGTGCATTCATGGACGCCATCAACAGTATGGATTATGACTATATTGCTTCTGGGCATTATGCCAATGTTGTTCACCCATCTGCTGATCAAATTGATAAGCCTTCCATCTTAGAATTGTCAAAGGACATGGTACTTGCGCAAATAATTCATTTCAATACCGATGGCTGTCTTGAAAGTGTCTCGTTAGATTTTTATAAAGCCAGATGTGTCCAACTGTGTTGTCATTGGTTTATTTACATGTGTGTGTGTGTATTTTGCTTAGGGGACCTATCTGGCAGTAATATGATAATTAGGGGTGTGCTGTAATTTTATTTTTCTTTAATAAGAAAACTTGAGTTTGCAACCATTTCTAGACATTTTCTGGAATAACATTGAAATTTTAGGAAAGAGTTAGACTGTAAATAGGTTTTCTTCATTTCTAATGTTGTATTATTTCATTTTGGAACTATTATCAGAATTTTGCTTTGTTTTATTTAATTTTATTTTTATTGAAACTATTTGGCAATTCTTTAAATATCCATTATAGGAAAGTTTTTTATACGATTAATTTGCTTTTGAGAAATGACTTACTGGAATAATAGAAGTTTCTATGTTACATATGAGGACTCATTTTTTTCTTTTTGAAATTCAAAACCCATGAATTTGGTTTTGCATCTTATAAGAAACTGGTCATGTTGTATTTATACTCTGTTATTTTAATTTCAGTTAATGCTTTACTGTGCATTACTAAGTGCTGCTATTTCTAAGATCTATAATGTTAACTTTGCAGGTCAAGGATCAAACGTATTTCCTTTCACATCTTTCTCAGGCCCAGCTTAAACGACTTATTTTTCCGCTTGGGTGTCTTGCAAAGGTGAGTAGCACTAGATTGGTTGTCATTTGGTCAACTGGGATGCTATTGTCATTTTTACCGCTGTTTCTCACTCAAGGTGGCACCTGCTGTATTATTGTATAATTGTTGAATTTAAATTCAAGTGTTGCAGATTATTGTTATTAGAAAGGGAAGCAAGATGGTGATAGCAAATAAACATGGGGAATCATTGTATTGATTCATTCATGTAATGAACATTATTATTAATTCCTAGATCCTGCCTTGATCGTCTTGCCCTTGATCTTTAGGTTTTCCATTTAACGACTGCTAAAACTCTCATCTTTTTTGTTTGTGCATGTTTACTGGTAGTCTTTTTGGACTAAGTAGTTGTCTGATTTTTGTGGTTTTCTCTTTTTCTGAAACAAAATATGTTTTCCTTTTGTGTCCAAGCTTTCTGGTCTTGCTTTTGCTTATGCAAGATTCTTGTGCTGTTCTTTTTTATTCTGATTTCTCTTCTTTATTCTATGATATCATCCACAGGATGAAGTTCGCCAGCTTGCAGCTAAATTTGACCTGCCTAACAAAGATAGGAAGGATTCACAGGGAATTTGCTTTCTTGGGAAGGTATGTATTGTAAGCACTTTTTTTCACTGACATTTCCATAAATTTTAGAATTATTTCATTCAAATATATAATTTAAATTTTCTAAATTCTCCCGATGATGACTTGGTACTTTAGAGGAATGTTAAACACATATTGCCCCAAAAACTTCTGCTAATGTTATTCAGGTTTACCTTTTGCTATTTTTACTCATCAAGAGGTAAATGCTTTAGGTGAGATAATTGAAGAAATTTCAGAAAACTGTCTAGTGATCTTTTGCTCACATAACTGGCCCTGGCCAACATTTTTTAGTTATGTATAAATTTTTTTTGGTGATTTGATTTTGGTGGTTTATTGCAGATAAGGTTTAGTGATTTTGTTGCAAGACACATTGGGGAGATGGAAGGAATCATATCAGAAGCTGAGACAGGGGACTTCCTCGGGAAACATCGAGGGTTCTGGTTCTACACAATTGGACAGCGCCAAGGCCTACGTCTCCCTGGAGGACCTTGGTATGCTCTATAACTATTTTATGTTGCCATCAATCTCAAGACTTTTGTTATTGTCATTTGATCCTGGGTAATAATATTATTTTAATCAAGGAAAATTTGCTTTACCCTCCAATCTGATGTGATTGATGAATCTCTACAGTGCTTTATCCTTTGTTATCCCTTTTGAATTATAACAATGATTCTTTTTAACTATGGCTGATAATTTTTCCATATATATTGAATTGCATACATGTTAAAGATGCATGTTTTGATGATTGGTAACATTATATTCCGTTCCATTTACTATAGCCAACATTGTTCTCAATCTATGCCTCTATATCAAATTGTGTGGGCATCCCAACCCAAAAGTAGTTGGCAGAAACGGAGAGGCCTCTTTTAAATATAATTAGCAACCCAAACTTGCTGGTTTGAGATTACCAAATATATAGGTCACTGGTTTATCATACTCTAGGATTAACAATCTGGGGTTGGGTCTGCTTTAATATGCTGTCAAACTAGAACCTAAAATGAATAGGTATTAGGTGCTGGGCTCAACTTGAGTGTGGGGTTCCAGGAAAACTACCACTTAACACCATATACTTTGACAGAGTTGTTAATGGACATTGCCATATATTCAAAGACTTTATGCACTTGAATATGCCTTTGCTTCATACCTTATGATCTTGTTCCCAACCATATTTTGTGTTTCTCTCTAGGTATGTTGTTGAGAAGGATGTTGAAAATAATGTAGTATTTGTGTCAAGAAATTATTTCTCATTGGACAAAAGAAGGCGCTTGTTTCGTGTTGGCTCCTTGAAGTGGCTTAGTGGGTCACCTCCAAACCATAAGAAGCAGCTCCAATGCAAGGTCAAACAAACTAGTACCTTTTCGTTTAATAATTTGTTATTTATATTTGCCATATTGTTGTACATTTAAATTTCTTGTTTGAAAGTCTAGAGATAAATTAAGTGAAAATTTGATTTTTGTTAAAATTTGATTTCATGCCTATATGCCATATTGGCGGGTGATAAAGGCTCTTCACAACTTGGACCGTTTCTTTAGTAGGGTTTGGTATTTCAACCAGCGTAGACTCTAGGAAGGAGGAAGTTTCAAAGTTGGAATGGCTCAATAAGCTCATCTCCAGTAGTACTTTTAGCTTACACCTTATTTTAACTCACATGAACTTTTAGCACATTTTACAAAAAGGTCTTTATTATTATTATTATTATTACTATTATTATTATTATTATAATAATAACAGAACCGTTGAACACTTTAGATATTGTATCATTCATGCAAAAACAACAAAGAAAAGCAAAGATAGAGATAGCCTCGCATTAAAACATATTACTTTGTGTCGATGGATTACTCACTTAAATTTTTTAGAAAAGGTTGATGGACTCTTCTAGTCTCCCTAGTCATTAAGGATGGCGGCTTGCACGATGAGTTTTTTTTGTTCCTTGAGGAGCAACGTCCTTATCTTCTAGACTGCGAATGCAGTCCTAGATCAATTGCATTGCATTTCCTACAATTTTCGGTTTTAGTAGACAAATGCTTGTAGAATAATCCTAGCTTTTACTCACATTTGAGCTTTTCCTTTTCCATTTGAGAGTTTTTTTGCAGAATTCTTTCAAGTCTTGTAAAAGGACTCGTGGCTACGCTTAAAATTAAGTTCCTTTCTGTTTCTATTTACAAAATAGAGATTGAAAGAAGTTTCTATATGTAGGTGTTGGGAGTTTTAAACCTTTTCTTATAATTAGTAAGATAGGTTATCTTAGTTCGTAACATGGATTGGATCATTTCGAACTTGGCTTGTCATGAATATTGAATCACATCCATTAGATTTATTAATGTGTTGAATAATTGTCTTTTTCTCGTATGGAATTAAGCATGAAAGGTCCACCTCAAGTAATGAATAATAGTTTTTTGTTTCTCGCAATTTTGCCTTATGGCTTAACCCTAATCACCTTGATGTAGCCAAAAGGTTTAGGGCAATTAGAACTCAACAATTAGGGCTAGAATAGGATTGATTGTGTTGGAACAATAGAAAGATAATTGGGTTTTAAAAGAAACCTCTTGAATAAATATTCAAAAATAACAGCAGATGATAATAATAATCCTATATCTAGGATCACCTATTTATAATAGCTAAGATAAATCCTAATCAAATTGTAATCCTAATCTTAAATAAAGACTTAAAGTACTAAAATTTTAATAAAGAAAAAAAAATCTCAAACTAAATAAAATAAAATAAAATCCTAAGCTAATAAAAATACTGAAAAAATAAATCTCCATATGTGCCTGCATCAGTCCCGTCGGGTCAGAAAAGGACTCGACTCAGACGAGTAGACCTTGACAT